ATTAAATATAAGTCACTAAATATAGTCATTAAATTATACTCATATAGTCAAAAAACACAGTGAATATTTACAAAAATAATTAGAATTTTATTGAGAACATATGAAAAAATTTATGAAAACGATATTGTTAAACAATTTTTTTTATTTCTTTGTCTAATATTCTGGTATCAGAAATGTTAAGAAAACTACTTATTATTATTTTAAAAAGTAAATTTATATTTTCTGAGTATGGTTAACAAAAATCTGCAAATTTCGTATAAAAGTAATTACATATTTCCTTAACCTTCTTTTATCATTATTTGAAGAAATAGGTTAGGTTAATAAATTCAGAGAAATAACTTTATTAGAAGAACTTTTAAGTATCCGCGAATTCTGAAATAAAAGTTTGTCAATTTGTAGAATTCATTGAAGTGAATATGTCTATAACCGCTTTATAGGGCAAAAGTTAATTATTTATGAAATACTAATAATCAAATTAGTCATTTTTTACACTCTATAGTGTATATAAGGCATTGGCGCCACAGTTAAATGTCTACATGCAAAACTGAAAGTCTACTTTTTTCAACGTCACTTTGAGTCCCATTTTCTTTAATGTAATTATACAAACCATTTTATATTACTTACACTGGTAGTTTATTTCAATTACACTAATTTTGTTACATTTTTTGTACCATTTCATTAAATTAATTATCATACTTTTGGTTTAATTCAAAGTTATTATATATTAAAAATTAATCAAAGTTACTATATACTATATAAAATTTACCATATCTTTGCATGGGATCCAAAAAATTGTATTAAAAAAGTATATAAAATTACCCTCAATTGAGTTTATTCAAATTCATTACTGTATTGGTAGTTTAATATATGGGTTATAGGTTTCATGTATTAATTTTTCTATCAAATTTGGGGGGGGGGGCAGTAAATAAGTATACATTTTGTGAAATATATCGACGGCTATAGGTTTTGATTAAAACAAGGTATTGAAATACAACATGCATAAAAAAATCACAAAACTTTTCGGTAATCCATAATTTTATGTACGTCATACTTCTTTAATGTAGTTTTTACGACTTTTTCTTCTTTTTGTTTACTTGGATCCAAAAATACAAAAAATTGCAATGCTCAAAAAAAATATTGTTAACTCGAAGTGAAAGTATGCACTGTAAAACTGAAAGTATAGAATTCTTTCTTGTACATAATAAGTGATGACATTGAACACTAAAATGCAACTAAGCACCAAAGCTACGTTAAAATATGACGCTAATGTTTGTTTTAACTGTATGTAATTTTGATTCTAGTTAAATACACATACAGACGAAATAAGTATTGAATACTTGATTAGTAGTTGACTTACGTTTTCACATGTAGATGAAAAACAAATAGAGTATTGCCTTCCAAAAATAAATTATTCATATACTATATAATACATAGTGGTTAATAATATAAAAAAAAGTCGTACATGAACTTATTTTTATTAGGAGAATTTTACTTTTGCATTGATAATATTTTCATAAATAAATAGTAAAAAATTTTTAAAATTTCATTTTCGTTATAAGATACATAATTCACCCGTCTCAACAGTCGATTGTCGGCTGCCGATCATAGACAATCTTACCTCTCTTAAAGTATTCCTTGTCTAATAGGACCAAAAGGCAATAAATCACTAAAGGTTATAATTTTCTTTACTGCGGCTAACATAGGAGAGTCCCAAAGTGTAAATCTCCAATTTTAACGAAACTTATGTATATATAAGATAGTTCTTAAAAAACTATTTGACAGATTTTTATTTTTATATGTCGATTTGCTAAGTAAAATAATGCATTATAAATAAATTGTTGTTAGTCTCTGCACAAAAATATACTAATTTTGAATGTGTTATAAGCAAATGAATTTTCTTGAAAACTGTTTGTATTGTTGAATTTCTTTTTTAACAATAAGCAATTGCTACGTTTAAACATTTTTTCTAACCGAAAAGTTTCGGCGACATAAAAATAATAAGTCTTCAACGTCTAAGAGCTATTTTCTACCCCTTGCAGAAATATGTGTGTGCAATATTTTTTTCAAAAACTATCTTATACATAAATTGATTTGCATTTGGGGACTTTCCCTGGTTAACACATTCTCTGCCACCAGAAAATCGATAGCACGCTGGGCAATACATTCTGGACCACGTGTATCGTGAGTCGGCGGCAACGAACGTGTTAATGTAGCTATACGGTCCCGAATGCCGTTATACTAATCTGAGGAGTACTCTATATCGTATACATGAATGCATCTTACCTCAAAAAAGAAAAAATCATTAACTTCAATTATTAATACGTCGTACAAAAGACTGCACTTCAAAGAGGGTGTAAACGTACTCGATTTAATAAGCTATACAAATGGCCAAAATTTCACCAATAAGTGAATAGAGCACTTGTAAAGTTCTCGTCAGTTAAATAAGTACCGGTACATTATATTTATGTTATTATTATTCAAATGTTTTCTGTAAATGTTAAACATATCGAAACAATCAAAAGGTAAAAAGTTCTATTATTTGTTGTAAGCACTGGTTTTCTGAATTTGTAATATGCCCGAAATGCGGTGGGAAGGGCTAAACACCTCTCCATTGAATTACGCGGAATGAGGGGTTGATGGCTCAGAGGTAGATAATACTTGAGACCCCTCTCCTTCGTATGGTGAAGTTAAAAGTCATCACAGGAGACAGACTTCTAAACTCACAACAGGCTGATCTAACCATATGCCACATACTCTTGCGTTATCTGTACGGACTCCAGTATAATGATCCAACAGGACTTTGTGTCTAAATAATATCAATCAGGATAGAAGTTTGTAATAAATTTTCAATAAGGAAGGTAATCTTTAATTTTTTTAATAGAAAATTATAAGTTATTGCAAATTTATGGAATTGACATAACTAACATGAAAAAAATGCAAATTTTTTTTATATACATATTTCTCACAAGAACTGGTCTAGTAATTTAGCTAATATCTCAATAAATGAAATAGAAATTCCATATCCCCGTTAGATTAAGAAACAAAATAAATATAATGAGAAAAAATCTTAATTTCATTATAACTGTAGTAATAATGTATTATCAGTAATTTAAATGATTTTAAACTTCTGTGTATATGTTGCAGATACTACGAATAAACACCAAATACAATGTACTTTGGGTATTAGGTCCCAATATACCAGGAGAAGTAAATACCATGTGTTATTTATACGATACAATTATTCCAACTAAGAAGAATACTTCACCATATTTTCCTACATACTTACAAGATGAACAGACTGGTGAACTTCCTGAAAATCTTTATGCAGATGATGTCCAAGCATTTAATGATCCTAATATTGTATTTGAACCTGAATCGTCATAATTGTAACATTATAATAAATAAAACAAATAGTTTTTAATAAGATCGTATTTTATGAAAATATTTAAATACCTTCCAATTTTTAAAGAAGCCTTACGTTTACCCGATTAAAAATCTGAACAAAGGACGACGGTTAACGTTGCCGTATTTACCTAATAATTTTATTGTTTATCCCTTTCCCCTTACAGAAATAATTCATAGTCGTGAATTAAGCTAATAAAGAGTAGTCAATTGATTTATTTATTTAGTAATCAATATTATAAATTTAACATACCTAAAGTATACACGAATTGTTTTATAGATGTAACATCGCTAACCAAGACTCATCTTAAGTTAGAGTGTAGAACAACATGATCAAACAATAAAAAGGATATTTCTTTTTTTTTGTTGCTCCTTAATTTAGAGAGCAAATTAATTAATTTACTAGAATAATTTAGTCGGTAAGATGCATATCACTAACTGCATTCGATTAAGTTCCGCTCCGCCAATAGTTTTAATATGTGCAATCGGGAAAGGAAAACAAGGTAACATACACATCATTAAAAGAATCAGAAAGAAAAGAGAAGAACACAGATTCTTATTTCATTAAGAAACTCCTTTGCTCCGTAACTTTTGCCCTCATTTTGTTCTGATTTCCCCTTTTGCGGGCAAAATCCGACCATTCAGTTTCGCTTTTA